ATAACCTAAATAACCCCACAAACACAGTCAGATACTTTCGAAAATAAAATTTAACGGCTATTCTTGAAGAAACCGTTAAACGTAATCCTCAAAGATTCTAGGGTTCTCGCATGAAATCCTAGACAGAGGAAGATCTAGGTGGGTTTCAACCAAGAAAATTAAAATATATCACTAGAATTGAAGGTTAATGAGAGTTTTAGGGTTAGAAACTCATTACCAACACCTCTCAAGCCAAAAATGCAAAATAGCGATTACTGGTCTATTTTACTTCTCCCCTGGAAACGGCGATCAAGAACCCCAGAAAGCACAATCGAAGGTTCTAACGGTAAAGAACACCACAAAGGACCAAATCGAAGATTATGCTCAGATCGAATGCTCTGATACCACTGTTGTTATATTTTTCAGTCCCAAAAATTCACAACAAAGAGTAATCAAAAAAATCAACGAAGGAACACCAAGAATTTTTTCGTCCGTAGGCCTGAATGTTCACACAAAAATGGGCTATTCACCATGTTGAGCATCCACAATAGTGGTTATCGCTCCAATCCAATACAAATAACCAGTAAAAGTATCAATACAAAGTTATAGAACCAAGAATCACATAGATCTACCCTCGGACTTCCCTTTTTCTCGAAAACTCTAACCTCAAAAACGATTAAACCAAGTAACCCCAAACAAACTGCTCAACACGAGCAGAAAATCAAACCTTACTATATAAGCACTCTAGATCTCACCAAGAATATCTAGATTTACAAAAGTTTATAGAAAAACCAGAGGTTTTCAGAGAGAAAGACAAAGACGAAGAAGAGAGAAAACCCTAGAAGTCTCTCGAAAATATGATTACACTGCCCAACGAAAAATCACAGGAAGTGTATATATACATATCAACATGCATCCAGCGGTTGTAAAGGCTCCACTTGTTATGATCTAAACCATCCATTTGAGAAAACACGTTTAACAAAACATGCATTTGTCCAATTTAAACAACCGGGTCACATTCTTTTAATTGATCCAAAACTTGGGTTGCATCATTGGGCTTCCAAAATGTCAAGCACCATTTTAACAATACCAATTAAATTAACCTGAGGATCCGCACCGAGACTAAAAAAATATGAAGGGCAACTCTTCTCAATATTTGCTAAATTTTAAATCTATAGACAAGATTGCATTTACAAAAACTGGAAAAACTCCTATATTAATTAATGTTTGTGAAACGTAGAAAAGATATTGTAGAATAAGTGAAGATGTAGGTAATAAACACAACTACAAATTGCATAAAAAATGAAAATCTTAAGAATCTATTCACACAAATGTAATTGACCATTCTCAATCTTCCAAATTATTTTCAGCTCCCTACCATTTTAATACGGTGACATAATTTTATCATATTTTTCGCACAATTGTTACATAAGGTACTTAAAGTGCCATCTATGTGTTACATCAGTAGTAAATGATCGCTCCTGTAAGCTATCTTTTGCACATAAATTATTAAATGCTTGTTTTTTCAATGGTGATACAGTAATAAAATTTAGTGCTTGTCTAATTTTGTCTAGTTGTCCTTTTATATGTTCTAAATCATCTTTTACAATAAACTTGATAATGATCACAATGCTGATGAAAAATAAACCTCCGAATGTGTTAAGATCATTAACGTATTTTTCAATAACAAGTTTATTCACACTTACATTGTCAAAAATAAAACTTTGAACTATTTCTTGCATACCAAAATCTTGTATAATCTATTTTAAATCATAAATATGTTATTGGGAGTTTTAGTAATTTAAATGCAATAATTCTTTTATGCAAAATCCAAAGATTATCATTGTAATGAACTATAGCAACAATATAATATATTTTTGTTACCACCGATCTATGAATCAGCGGTAAACGATATAACACTATCGAAAGTTTTTAAAACTTCAATAGCAGCTTGTTTTCTTTTGTTATATAATTTTATAATGTTTGTAAGAAAAGTATTTCTATGATAAGGATTATACCTAGATTGAAGATAGTTTGCACGAGTCGAGTAAAGTGAGTGGAGTCTATCATGCAAAAACAACATTTCACTTGTAGCAAAGTATGCAGCAATTCCTTTACTAAATATTTCCTATGAATATACGAACGTAGAAAGAGTAGAATCAGAATTGCCAAACACACGTTCAATCTGTTTGGGGTCGAGACCGACTAGTTTTACTTAGCAAGTCTTTGCCATGTGCCTATTTAAATGAGATGTGCTTAAACCAAACTTCCAACTAAGCTTCTTACCACGGTAATTGCAATACGCTTCCCTAATATTCACTCCATCTTGAACACCAATTTTTTTTTTTTTTTCGTGTTATACATTGCCAACAATTCAAGCATCTTTTTTGGCCTTTTAAGTTTCGAATATAAGTTTCTTTTAGATATCCTCCAAGTTAATTAGAACATTTTTCAAATGCGTAGTAGCAGAATAGAGTATTCGAACTACCCTTAAATTTTTTTAACATCATTACTAAAAAAATTCATTTGTAACTATTAAATTTTGTATACTTAAAATTGAGAAATTATAGTAAACGAAACTGAACATCAAAGCAAAGAAGTTGAAAATTGAAGTTGAAAATAAAATACTGTTAAGTTAAAAATAACTGCTTCTGTAACTAACAGCCGGGCACGGGCCAAAAATGGCCCCTTTTTAATGGGCCGTTTGTGTCACAAGCCATTTTTTGCTAGCTGCACAGGGATCAAGCTGCAAGCGGAGCCAGCTTGAGTTTTTTCCGGACCAACCCAGTCCCACCCGAGCCCACCGGCCAGTTTGACACCCCTGTATAACTTCGAACAATGAATCATGCCTTTTGATGTCTAGTCAAAACATGGGCTCACGATTTTCAGAGTATATTATCAACAGGTGTGTAAAAGAGGTACAACAGAACGCGGTCGATGTTTTTGCATTCACTACAATACTCGATTCTACAAATGATTATCCTGCAATAATAATGAAAAATAATAATATTTTAAACTACCACTTTGAATAATCTTATTGTACAGCTGGGCTACAAGTCAAAATTTCGCCCTATGGCTCGTAACACTGTATGCAGATACATCCATCCATCCCTCTCAAATATTCTAGTCAAGTTCACTGATGCCCTCGTCCTCGCCCTCGCCCTCGCCCTCGCCCTCGCCCTCTCCCACGAAATCCCCCTCTTCCACGGCCTCGGAAACCAGACCCGTCTTTTAGATTCAATGATTGGACTCCCCTCTTTCCACGTCGCGTTTCCTTCTCCTCATCATCCTCCACGTACTTCTTGGAGCTTCTAGGCTTGAAAGAAATTTCCCGTGCCCCTCCTCCTACTATCTTGACATCATCATGCTTTGAAGCATATGCAGCTCGTTGCTGCTCTTTTGCCACCCTCTCTTCCATAGGAAGAGAAAACTCCTCCACAAGAGAGACACCCTTTGAAAACGCTTCTGCATGTCGCCAATCCTTCATTTCATAGAATCTGCAAATATATCAAAAAGTAGAACACTTAAATAAGATTTTCATACAAAAACAAAAAGATGAATAGAAAAAGTGGGTCAAATTTTTTTTCCCAGTTCTTTTGGAGACTCGTTAGATTTGCAAGACATGCATGCCTTTAGGATGCACAAGTATCGGTTTAGTTATTTGTTTAAAAATCACCCTCACAGACTATGGAATCACAAGCAAAAAAGATGCACACAGTTCAAGTTATTCGTTACAAGTATATGCTACTACTTTGCATTCAATGAAGTGATAAATGTATAGAGATCGATTGTAACAAAAGCACCATAGATTTACTACACTCATTTAAATGTTGTTTTGGCGATGCATATTTACACCATAAAAGGGAAATCATTCTTGCTTTACCTTTTCAATTCATATATATGCATATACATTGGGAACACAAATGCAGTTAATGTACCATATTGACTGTGTTCCATATGGTGGAGTATGAATGACAACAACTACACAATGGATACACTTAAAAGGGGATAATAAAATAACATAGACAAATAATTGTGGCGGGTAGGGGGTAGAGAGAGGGAAACATTACCTTGGAACTCGTGATTTCCTGGATGCAGTGTTGTCATTGGCATCCTCAGCTTCTGACGATTCAC